ACACACGGAGGGCATATCGACCCCTTTTAGCCCACCAACTTTAAAAATGTTTGGGTCTTCCCCTGATTTTTAGGGATTTTTTTTCTTTTTATAAATAAAACCCCCTTTAAAGCCTTCCCTTTTTCTCCCAGCTGGCCCGTCCGTCTCTAACTTCAGCAGCAGTAGCAGGAGGGAGCTGCCTGTCAAATGGGAAAGATGCTCCACACACACACCACACACACACACAGCCCAGTGCCTAGCCCCAATATTTCACTTCTTATCTTAAAATTTTTTTAACAACAGCAAGCAACTCCTTTAAAAGCTTTTGCTGCAGCAGCATTGTCCCCTCATTTTGCAACAAACAACGTGCCCACAATGGTCACTTTAGGTGTGGTCGCCCCATTAAATAACCTGTCCACGTCAATCACTTCCTCCTCTGACGCATGCAGAAGAACTCCCCCAGAAAGCCATGCGGCCTGAAAATGAAAGCAAGCAACGGTGAATGTGCAGCTTTCTCTTTAGTGTTGTCTTTCGTTTCATCTGAAAATGGTATTTCTGTTTCGTGCCTTCCAAATGGACGGTACAAAACGAATATCCGAATAAAACGAATGAAACAAACACTGCACCCTTGACTACTTTCTATAAAATAAGCAGGAATTCATGTAACTGAAACACAGTGTCTTCTGTCTTTTAGATTCTCGTCCTGACATTTCCAGACCGGGCCAAGCCTTTGGAGCTAGAAGACGTTGCAGCAGGAATTGTCTTTTCTGTGTAAATCGCAAGAGATGTAGGTCTGTCAATGCTTTTATAGATACTGCTTGTAAAATGGATTTGATGCTGTGGAGTTGCTTTTTTTTTTTTACACAAACAGACATGTATAAATATATATCATACGTCAATCTGAATGAGGTAATCATGGCTTGTTACTGGAAAGCCATTGCAGGAGTGCTAGTGAGTAAGGAATGCACTTGTACTTAGAAGAGAGTTCTAATTGTCTAGAATTTCCCCCTATTTTTGTGCTCCTTTATCTACAGCAAACTATCTAGGACAAGAAAGTGATTGTAGGTTTTGCTAAAGGCAGACAGAAGTTCTGTTTTGGATCCATTGTGTGCTTGTTCCGCCAGAACTCTAGTGGGGTAGGGAAGACAGCGCTGCTGCCCCACAGAGAAAGATCTTCTTGTGTTTTTGTTACACAAACAAACAAAGTGGTTCAATAAATATAATTTTTGTATCCAACCACCTTTTGTTTTGTTGATGGTGTTGGGGAGTTTTTTTCCTGTGGCTCCAGGGAACTTTGGTTTTCCTATTCAAGGTCTTACTTTCTAATCATTTGGTTATTTGGGGATTAAGGCAATGGGAGAGAGACGGTTCACGTGTTGCTTTGCTTTTTCTATCAGCTGTTCTTTGCAACTGATAAGCTAAGAGGTGAATTCTGAAAGGCAGGCAAAGGGAAGTGTTTTCTTTTTCATTTGTAGCCTGTGTCACAAAAGAGCCGTAAAACAGAGAGAAAATGCAATTTAATGCTTGCAGTATTCTCCTTCCAATAACAGGTTATTGCTGTTATTTCCAGTTTATGTCAACCCTATCATCGATGGAAATACTACTACTACTACTACTAATTATTATTATTATTATTAATAATAATAATAATAATAATAATAAATCATAATAATAATTATGAGGAAAAACTCAGTCGTTATCAGGACCTCAAAATCGAACTGCAAAGGCTCTGACATAAACCAGTACAGGTGGTCCCAGTGGTCATCGGCACACTGGGTGCCATGCCAAAAGATCTCAGCCAGCATTTGGAAACAATAAATATTGCCAAAATCACAATCTGTCAACTACAAAAGGCCACCTGACTTGGATCTGAGCGCATCATTCAAAAATGCATCACACAGTCCTAGACGCCTGGGAAGTGTTCGACTTGTGATTTTGTGATACAAAATCCACCATATAGATTTCGTTTGCTGTGAAATGCTGTGTTTTTGTGTCATAATAATAATAATAATAAGAAGAAGTAGTCTTAGGCACTTGGGAAGTGTCCAACGTGTGATCCAATACAACAGCCAGCAGAGTGTCTTCTGTGGACTCATCTTGTTGTGTTTCAAATAATAATAATTTATTTATATTCCGCCCTATCTCCCCAAGGGGACTCAGAGCAGATCATTGTATACATACACGGCAAACATTCAGTGCCGTTTTGGATAGACAGGATGGAAACAGGCAGAACAGAAAGGAGGTATGTTGTGTCAACATCCAGCTTTTTGGCACCTTGAAGGTTGTGCTCAAATCCAGCCACAGGGGGTGCTGTCGCTCCATCGTCTATGACGAAGAGCCATCAGGATTTCCTCCTTCCTTTTAGTCGTAGTGCATTTTCTGATCTTGTTTTTGTGGTTACTACCTTGTCTACTTACAGCTGCTTTTGAACTGCTTAGGTAAACAGTAAGCTGGGCTGACAGTTGGGAGCTCACGCTGACCCAGGGCTTCGAATTGGCCACCTTTCGTGACAAGTGACGAGAGGAGTGACACAGGGTTCCGTCCTGGACCGGGTCCTGTTGACATCTTTATTAATGACTCAAATTGAGGGGATGGAAGGCATGTTCATCAAGTTTGCAAACAACAGGGAAGTCATGCTGTCCCTCTATTCTGCCTTAGTCAGACCACACCTGGAATCACACTGTGTCCAATTCTGGACATTGCAGTTGAAGGGAGATGTTGACAAACTGGAATGTGTCCAGAGGAGGATGACTAAAATGTTCAGGGGTCTGGAGAACAAGCCTTATGAGGAGCGGCTGAAAGAGTTGGGCATGTTTAGCCTGCAGAAGAGAAGGCAGAGAGGAGACATGATGAGGGCCATGAATCAAGATGTGAGGGGAAGTCATAGGGAAGAGGGAGCAAGCTTGTTTTCTGCTGCCCCAGAGACTAGGACGCAATGGAACAATGGCTTCAAACTACAAGAAAAGAGAACATTAGAAAGAACTTCCTGATTGTGAGAGGTGTTCAGCAATGGAACTCTCTCTGCCCCAGACTGTGGTGGCGGCTCCTTCTTTGAAGGCTTTTAAGCAGAGGCTTAATGGTCATCTGTCGGGGGTGCTTTGAATGTCATTTTCCTGCTTCTTGGCAGAATGGGGATGGACTGGATGGCCCACAAGGACTCTAGTATTCTATGATGCTATGCTGTTCCTTGGCAAAAGTTTGTTTGGATGGGATTTTACTCGTTAGATAGTTTTTACAAATATTTTCAGTCCATGGATGTTGAATCTGTATGTTGAATCTGTGGTTACAGAGGGCCGACTGCACTGTTTACGTGGCACAAAAACAAACAAGAACTAAAACTGCTACACAAAACAAGCCTAATGACTGATTTTGGGGGAACAAAGTCTACTTCTCTTGATGACCCTTTTTCCTGTTCATTTGCCGAAATGAGTTGCAAATAGAGCACCCTCATCCCCCTCCTGGGATAATCACAAATGATGTCTGGACATTTTACAACCATTAATTGCTTTCACAAAGGCAGCCAAGATTTTGCGCATCAGTAAAATCTTTTTTATGTGGTTTTTGCTCAAAATTCCCGAACACAATTGAAGTTAGCAAAGTTTTTTTTTCTTTTGTTGGTTGGTGCCACATATCTTGTGCCAGTATTTAATTAACATCTATTCTAGAGCAAACATTTTCCTTTCAGCAGTTTTCAGAAGATGATCTATGCTGGCAGTTTGAGATCTGTTTCCCCTTTCTCTGTTCTCTTCCTCTCCCTACATCTTCTGGTCTGAATCAGTGAAAAGGTTTAGGAAGAGAGACGCAATCTGGAAACATTCATGTCAGAAAAGATTGCATTTTTGATGTATTCTTAGTTCAGCAAAGCACTTCAAAAATAGTACAGCTGTATCTCATTTGAACTGTCAGCTGTCATTGTTGGCAGTTGACATATTAAAAGCACCCACACCACTTCTGCTTAAAGTGTATGTTTAACTGTAGGCAGCCCCCAAGTTCCAAACAAGATAGGTTCTGTAGGTTGTTCTTAAGTTGAATTTGTATGCAAGTCAGAACAGGTACATTTTAAAGTGTAACTCCAGCCACATATATATAGGGAAGAGCTAACACCTCTGTGGAGTTTCCTTTGCTGTCTGTGCCTCTGTTCAGAAGATTTTGCCTCACTTTCTGTCCCTGTGATAATTGGATTTTGAAAAATGTGGCTTGTTGTGGAAACAAGGATTGGCGAGAAAGCTTCAGTGGAGACTCCTTTTCCCCATGATAAGTCTTTCAGGAGTGAATTTCCCTTCCAGGGGGTAGATTTCTCTTCATTCCTGTTCTTTCACTTCCATTTGTAACTATGAGTTGCTTGTAAGTCGGATGTTTGTGACTTGGGGACTGCCTGTACTTGGTGGACAGAAGTTGTATTATTCCACAGGGCTTTATTTTTAAGGTGAATAATACCGTGGAGTAAAGAACTGAACTTTGCCCTTAGCTGGCCTCTCTAATCCCAAGCAAAAGCCTTCTGCTGGTGTAAACTGAAGCCTTAGAAAGAGTGGCGGAGTTCAAGTGACAACAGTTTGCTTTTTTGGTGCTTCTCAGCTCTTCCTGTTAAAAAGTGACATTATTAACAAAACCGCAATCTCAAAGCACTACTGAAATGTCCAAAAAGAAGGAGGAAAGGCCAAGTATTGTTTATTTCTGGGCCCTATATTGTTTTCATTCCACAGACCTCATTTTTAATCACACAAATGAGTCAGAGCCCACCATTATGGGCTCAAAACTATGTGAAAAGGATTTTATTACAACATGCCACAATGTTCCCCATTCTCCACTTCAGGTGCTTCCTTGCCTCAGTGATGAAAACCTGTTAGAAGATGTTATTCACATTCCACTCTTACTCTGCTCAGTTAAAATGCAGGCATAACTCTAAAGAAATAGAAATGCAAAAATGACTTGTGGCAGGTTATTTCCCAGAATGCCTGTGGTGGATTGTCTTTAAAGTAACTTGCTTAAATGGCACAGGAAGAAATGACGAAGGCTTTCAGTTACCAGAAGTTATTTTAATTTGTTCTGTCTTCAACTGTACTGACTTGGAGGAGAGCTCAAAAAGAGATCCCCTTGTTTAAGGTTAGCCCATTCTTGCCATTTGAAAACCGTGGTTCGGGTTGGGGAAATCAGTCCTGGGTGTTCAAAGGGCACAAGCAAATACTGTTTAATAATTAAACTGTCAGGATGTTCCAAAACAAGGGTCTGAAAGCTGTCAGAGTACGACAGATGTCCAGTTTCTTGTCTGTTTCCTCTTTGTGCAAAATGCTATTGTGCCAGTTTCATTCACAGTCTCTTGAAAAGGACTCCTTCTTGACATCCTACTCTTCTCTTTGTAGCAGGGGAAGGATTTCGTCCCATGCAATGACCACCAACACAGACCCTGAAATGATATAAACATAAAAATCCCGTTTAGGCATTGTCAGAAGACCACGTGTTGACTGATTCATGCATAGTTAGTCACTTCAAAGCATCAACATCCTATTCTGGATAGCTTAATTTTACTTCTTAAAAGGTGTGCACATTGTACAGTGTGACCCCCGTATCCCCCCTGGTTTCACTTACCCTCCTCTGACAAAATATGTAATTTCTAGGCATTTTCTAGGTCCGCCAGTTGGTGTGCTTCTGCTGGAAGACCTAGCAATGCCAAGGAGAGGTGTTTTTTCTAGGCATTTCTTAGGCTCTCCAGTGTGACACAATATCAGTGGTTCTCAATCTGTGGGTCCCCAGGTGTTTTGGCCTACAACACCCAGAAATCCCAGCCAATTTACCAGCTGTTAGGATTTCTGGGAGTTGAAGGCCAAAACATCTGGGCACCCACAGGTTGAGAACCACTGTTCTATATGGTCAACTTCCATCAGAAGTAATTTGTTCAATATTGTTCACAATTATTCATGGTTTCATGTATCCACACAAAGTCCTGTGATGTATCTCCTACCAATATAGGGCCATATTGTATGATGCTGCCATAGTAAAATTCACCCTTCCTCAACCTTCACAAGTTGAGCTCCCCAACTCTATACTGTTTTTCCCTGCTGCCAGTTGTATATTTGGTTTGATTACTGCTGCAGTTGTTTTATGACTGTATCATGTTTTGTGGTTTTAATTCATACGTGACTCAGAGAACTTTAGTTATTGGATCATTTAACCAGTAATAAATGAGTAAAATACCAGTATATTTTCTTAGGAAAGGAAAGTGCCACTTGGCTACCGTACTTTAAAAATTGTGCTTAAGCATCTGGTTATGTTTCATTTCTTGGCCAAGGAAATGTGCTTTCAGCAGCAGGGAAAGTGAGATGTTTAAAACCAGGAGTTGGAAATTCTAGACATTGGTGGACCATAATTCCTTTGAATACTCACTGTCACCACTAACTCGAGTTGCACTGCAACTTACAGAATATTATTCCCTTGTATAAACAATTAACCACTGTCTTGATTTAATTGTTAATGTGTAGCTAAACTGGATAATTTTGTTACATGCCCTCAAGTCCATTCGTTGGCAAGCAGTGCTTCAGTATTCAGATGTATTCAGAAGAGGTTTGCCATTTATATTTCTCAGATTGAGAGAGTGTGGCTTGCCCAGTGCGTTTTGTGGTAGAGTGAATGCTGGGAATACACTCCCTGGCTTTGCATGGATATGCAGAATTGTGGATAATAGTAAAACCTATTTAAATGAAGACCGGTCCAAGAATATCATAGTACTGGAGGACCTAGAAAATGCATAGAAAGAAAGTATATTTTGTCAGAATATGGATAACTGAAGCCACAGATACCAGTCCTGTGGCTCATACTGTACTTCACCAAAGTTGTCCCTTAATTAAGGCTATGGCTCTGCATTCCTAGAATCTTATCATTAGGGCTTATGGCCCTGTGTATGCTCATGTAAATGCAAATATAAGGTTACTTACCTAAGCACGGAGCTATCCAGTACACCAGAATGTAATTCCAAAATTTTTCACTGAAGCAAGTTAAGTGCATAGAAAAAGCCAGAGCTGGATTGAATATGGCTCCTGTGAGGTGTCCTCCTACAAGAAAAAAAAGGAAATTTAACTCTAAATCTTGATTAGCATTAAATACCAAAACCAGAATCCTCCAAGCCATAGTGTTTTTGAGTTCTATGCATGTTGTGAAAGCTGGGCAGTGATGAAAGCAGACAGCAATTAAAATCAGCTCATTTGAAATGTGCTGAAGGAGGGTTCTGCAGATACCATGGACTGCTAAAAAGACAAACCAATGGGTCTCCAAGCTAATCAAGCTTCAATTCAGAAGAAAAGGGGACTAAACAAGCTGTGGTGCTTATGTGATGACATGACTCATTGGCAAACTCTATGATGCTCTGCAAGGTAGAAGGCAGTAGGAAAATGTGAAAACAACATTCCACCTGGATTGTCATTGCCTCAATCAAGGAAGCCATGGCCCTAAGGTTGCAGAACCTGAGCTGTTTGAAGACTGAATCTCTTAGAGGTCTCTCATCTATAGAGTTGCCATAGGAGAAAAACCTTCTGACAAAAACCAAGTCTTATGCTGAACTGAACAGGTGCTGCAAAACCAAACCATACCTCAGAATTGGTTCTGCACTGTTTACACATGTATGCTGCCTTTTGAAGTCCTGAGTAAACTCTCAACTGGAGGAAAGGGGAGAGAGTGCTGATATCAGCAATCCCTTGAAAAAAGGGCAATGTTTGGGGTTTGTGACATGCCAGAGGCCTGTGTTGTAGAAGTTAATAATTCTCAATGATGATGCTTCTGGTAAATAGCACGCTTTCATCCTGATGCTATCCCTATGAGGTCTGGTGCTGCTATTCCCTTGTTACAAATAGGAGCTGAGTCAGCAAAAGTATGTCTTGCCAGAGACCGTCCCAGGGAATTCTGGATTTGGCAGTGGATTCCTCAGGCCACCCACATCCAGACCTCCAGCGAGCCTCATTGTGCACAGAATAATGGTTAACAGCTAGAGGTATGACAGTCTGTAGTTCAAATCCAGTCTTAGCCATAGGCTTTCTAAATATTATAAATTACTATCTAACTCCCATCTTTCTCTTACGCCATTAAGGAGAATAATATCAACATTTCTCACATGATTATTAGAAGAGCTTTAAAAGTGTTGTATAAATACTAACTAAGCGAATTGTCCAAAGCTACTAATGCAAGAGTAATCAACTAAAGATCTTCCGATAAAGGAAGGGTTTTGGGGGTGGCAGGGAGAGAACTTCAACTCATACTCCTCAGCAAGCATAAGTTATAATACAGAGTTTGGGGAGCTGCAGTTCAAAAATATGGAGGGCAGCAGCTGCCCAAACCTGTATGAAAGATATCCAAAAAACAACATTGTTCTCTCATGATGGCAGACTGCCCCGGCAATGGCAGGTTCTGAAACAATTTCATAAATGTGATAGCATTTCCCTTTTTGTTTGCTGGCCCATTTTGAAATTGGTTCCAAATGTTCCTCTACTAAATGGACCAGAATTAGATGATTGTGATGAAGAAGAAATCCCACTTTTCTCTCTTAAACAAGACTCAAAGCCTCTAGCAATCTGAGTCCTAATAAATGACTATAAAAATGGTTTCCTAAGGGAAAACCTCTTTTTTCAGAGATAATACATTTCTGCTTCTGCTTTGTCACAGAAACTTGCATAGGTTGTATAGCATAGAAGCAATCTGTCCAGATTATAACAAACGAGAATATGGTCATATCTTTGCATTTCAAATGATTGCCAGTATCTGTTAAGATTTGAACTGTCTACTTTCTCTTCCAGCCTTCTTGTAGTTCAAGTTGCTATTTTTCCAATACTGTGTTAGGACTTTAAAAACGCAAACTGAACATGGCATTTAAATGGCTGCTTAATGACACACTAAGTGATTCAGGAAGTCAACAGCAGTAGAATTAGAAATCTGTTTACTTTGCTCATTAACATAGAGGTTTTCTTCTTCTTTTTGTAACTGAATGGACAAGCCCTCTGCCAAATTAATGACCCCAGTTATGGAAAAAATGCAATGCTTGACAAGGACTAGTCTAGACTATGAGCTCACTCTCACAAGGGATAGGATTGAACATGGAATTTAAAAAAAAATTAAATGCATTCGGAATGCTATTTTCTGATTTGCCCAGACTGAAGCAACACAGATTAGTTTTCATGAAAATCTCTTATTTTGGAACACAATCTTTCATGTTTTATAAGTCATTCCAGTACTTGGCAGTTAGGGGCTTTGTTTACAAATAAAAACAGTTTAACTTTTGGAATTTAAGAAGATGTATTCTCAAACAGCAAGCATATATAGTTTTCACTTTTTCCAGGCAGTATTCACCTTGAGATAGAAGTGCAAAGGTTATTCCAGGTTACCTTCCTTGCTCAACTGTTCTTATTGCTATTAAGTCAACATAAGATAAGGTTGAAGAACAGATTTGAAGGACTAGATTTAGTAAACAGAGTCCCAGAAGAACTATGGACAGAAGTCCGAGACATTGTTCAGGAGGCAGCAACAAAGTACGTCCCAAAGAAAAAGAAAACCAAGAAGGCAAAATGGTTGTCTGCTGAGACACTGGAAGTAGCCCAAGAAGGAGGAAAGCAAAAGGAAACAGGGATAAGGGGAGATATGCCCAGTTAAATGCGCAATTCCAGAGGTTAGCCAGAAGAGATAAGGAACTATTTTTAAATAAGCAATGCATGGAAGTGGAAGAAGACAACAGAATAGGAAGGACAAGAGACTCTTCCAGAAAATTAGAAACATTGGAGGTAAATTTCAGGCAAAAATTGGTATGATAAGAAACAAAGATGGCAGGGACCTAACAGAAGCTGAAGAGATCAAGAGAAGGTGGCGAGACTATACAGAAGATCTGTATAGGAAGGATAATAATATTGAGGATAGTTTTGACGGTATGGTGAATGCATTAGAACCAGACATCCTGAGGAGTGAGGTTGAATGGGCCTTAAGAAGCATTGCTAACAACAAGGCAGCAGGAGACGACGGGATCCCAGCTGAACTGTTTAAAATCTTAAAAGATGATGCTGTCAAGGTGATGCATGCCATTTGCCAGCAAATATGGAAAACACAAGAATGGCCATCAGATTGGAAAAAATCAACTTATATCCCCATACCAAAAAAGGGAAATGCGAAAGACTGCTCAAACTTCCGTACAGTGGCCCTTATTTCTCATGCCAGTAAGGTAATGCTCAAGATCCTGCAAGGAAGACTCCAGCAATACATGGAGCGAGAGTTGCCAGATGTTCAAGCTGGGTTTAGAAAAGATAGAGGAACGAGAGACCAAATTGCCAATATCCGCTGGATAATGGAGAAAGGCAGGGAGTTTCAGAAAAACATCTACTTCTGCTTCATTGACTATTCTAAAGCCTTTGACTGTGTGGATCATAATAAATTATGGCAAGTTCTTAGTGGGATGGGCATCCCAAGCCACCTTGTCTCTCTCCTGAGGAATCTGTACAAGGACCAAGTAGCAACAGTCAGAACTGACCATGGAACAACAGACTGGTTCAAGATTGGGAAAGGCGTACGGCAAGGCTGCATCCTCTCACCAAACCTTTTTAACTTGTATGCAGAACACATCATGCGATGTGCGGGGCTGGATGAATGCAAAGCTGGGGTGAAAATTGCTGGAAGAAACATTAACAACCTCAGATATGCAGATGACACCACTCTGATGGCCGAAAGCGAGGAGGAGCTGAGGAGCCTTCTAATCAAGGTGAAAGAAGAAAGCGCAAAAGCTGGGTTGCAGCTAAACGTCAAAAAAACCAAGATTATGGCAACAAGAATGATTGACAACTGGAAAATAGAGGGAGAAACCGTGGAGGCCGTGACAGACTTTGTATTTCTAGGTGCAAAGATGACTGCAGATGCAGACTGTGGCCAGGAAATTAGAAGACGCTTACTTCTTGGGAGGAGAGCAATGTCCAATCTCGATAAAATAGTAAAGAGTAGAGACATCAGACTGGCAACAAAGATCCGCCTAGTCAAAGCCATGGTATTCCCTGTAGTAACCTACGGATGTGAGAGCTGGACCTTAGGGAAGGCTGAGCGAAGGAAGATAGATGCTTTTGAGCTGTGGTGTTGGAGGAAAGTTCTGAGAGTGCCTTGGACTGCGAGAAGATCCAACCAGTCCATCCTCCAGGAAATAAAGCCCGACTGCTCATTGGAGGGAAGGATACTAGAGACAAAGTTGAAGTACTTTGGTCACATCATGAGGAGACAGGAAAGCCTAGAGAAGACAATTATGCTGGGGAAAGTGGAAGGCAAAAGGAAGAGGGGCCGACCAAGGGCAAGATGGATGGATGGCATCCTTGAAGTGACTGGACTGACCTTGAAGGAGCTGGGGGTGGTAACGGCCGACAGGGAGCTCTGGCGTGGGCTGGTCCATGAGGTCACGAAGAGTCGGAGACGACTGAACGAATGAACAACAACAACAAGATAAGGTTAGCTCACTACAGTGGGTGGAAGAAGTCCCATTGGTTCTTCCTCTGCAAACTTTTCTTCCTTCCCAAGAAGCAAAAAGCTGAACAACTCTGGTAGATTCACAGGTGGCTACCTTTTTGAAAAATAAATTGAAGCATGGGGCTATGATTTCTGAACACAGCAAATATTGCTCACATTTTCTCAGGTGTTCTTTTCAAATAGGTATGTCTTAGCCTGCTCATGCTTTATCCCACAAGGGAAGCTGGCACATCCCTCTATTAAGAAGGGCATTCATTAAAGATTTCCTCTGAACTACTTCTATTTATCACAGGATGCTGAAACTGCACATGTGGAATGATACAAGTCTCTATAGCTTATTTGCCAATTTACACTCAGAACTGATAACTGTCTTGATTTGATAGGTACTGAAGTGGTGTGAGGTTTGATTTTAGACCCAGTGGAATACAGAGCAGTCCTCCAGTCCTTTTCCTTGAAAGGCCGCACACCAAAGGAGACGTTCAATGAGATGAAAGAGGTTTATGGTGATGATTCCCCATCATATGATGTAGTCAAGAACTGGCACAGTCGATTCCACTGTGGTTGGACTTCGGAGCAAACAGCTCCAATTCCAGGGTGACTCCACTCAGCTATTGATGAACAAGTGGAGGTTGCCATTTTGGAAAATCGCCAAGTAACCATTTGCCACCTAGCCCAAAATGTCAAGATGAATGTGTGGTCCAGGGGAAAAAAATCATCCAAGACCATCTTCACCTGCATAAGGTATTCTCTCGCTGGGTCCTTCGGCTGCTCATACCTTTTCAGAAGCAGGAACAAATTGAATGCTCTCAGGTTCTATTGACAGTGATGTGCCATGGCAACCAGGAGGACTTTTTCAACAAATTTATTTTATTATTTATTTATTTGATATACTTGTATACCGCTAATATCTCAGCCTAAATCGGCGACTCATTGCGGTTTACAGCAGTTAAAACAATCTACAATTTAAAAATATATACACATACAATAACAAATTATTGGGCCACCAATAATAATCCCATATAGCTCGAGTTAAAATCACAATCCAGAGTTCGTTGTCCATGTTTTCTGTCCTTAGTCATCAGGATTCGAGTTGCCACAGATTAGCCGAATGCTTGTTTGAACAGCCATGTTTTAAGTCTCTTCCTAAACACCAACAGTGAGGAGGCTGATCGTACCTCTATAGGGAGGGTGTTCCAAAGCCGGGGGGCCACCACAGAGAAGGCCCTATCTCTCGTTCCCGCCAGCCGCACTTCTGAAGCTGGAGGGATAGAGAGAAGGGACTCTCCGGAAGATCTTAGGGTCCTGGTGGGCTGATAGGCTGAGATACGTTCGGATAGATAAGTTGGGCCAGAACCGTTTAGGGCTTTAAAGGCCAACGCCAGCACTTTGAATTGAGCCCGGTAGCATATCGGCAGCCAGTGGAGCTGGTTCAGCAAGGGAGTTGTATTTATTTATCGTGCCATCAGCAACCATACCATTGTATTACATTTCTAACAGAACAAAACAAACAAACAGTTTTTTTAAAAAAAAACAAAACAAAACACAGATTTTGCAAACTTGGTAGTTGATTAAATGTCCTTTGACCAGTATCTGGCCACTTGGAGTGCTTCTGGTGTTGCCGCAAGAAGGTCCTCCATTGTATATGTGGCAGGGCTCAGGTTGCATTGCTGCAAATTGATCACACAGGATGAAAGCTGGGTCCATCACTATGATCCTGAGACTAAAGTCCAGTTGATGCAGTGGAAGCATCATGACTCACTGTCTCCAAAGAAGGCACATGCCCAACTCTCAGCAGGTAAGGTCATTCTCACAGTATTTTGGGACCAGGACGGAGTAGTACTGATGGATTTCCTAGCAAAGGGTACCATAATAACTGGGACATACTATGCTTCACTGCTGCGGAAATTGGAGGAGGCCATCAAAACCAAGAAATGTGGCATGCTCATCAATGGTGTCCGCTTTGTGCAAGACAATGCACCAGTTCACAACTCACATGTTGCTCAAATGGAAGCCTGCTCCTGTGGTTTTGAAATTTGACCACATTCCCCCTTAGTCATCTGACCTCTCACCATCCGACTTCCACCTCTTTCCAACAACCAAGTTATTTTTGAAGAGCAAGCATTTTTCAGATGATGAGACTCTGATTTCTGAAGTCACAACGTGGCTTTTGGAGCAATCTGTCGACTTCTACAAGCAAGGTGTTTACAGTTGCTTAAAAAAATGGGACAAGTGTGTGTCCTTAGGTGGCACCAATGGAGAGAAGGACTCATAACTGTGCCAAGTTTCATTGCTCTTTGTCCACAGGAAGTGGGTCAGGGGAAATCTTTAATGAACGCCCCTCGTATTTCATTTGTAATTTTCTCGGAGGACTATCACAGAATTCAAGGTTTCACCAATCGGGCCTTTTAAAATCATTGTTCAAGTTCTTGTGGCTCAGAACCTTGACTGAGATAACTTGATTTCAAAATCAATGGTTGTGACCATATATGTTAAATAATTTGGCTTTTTTTTTTTTTGCGGAAAGTGCACTTTTGTCCTCAGCAAAATCTGCTCATCAGCCTCATGCATGATACAAAGGCACTTAATTTTGTTCCCCAGTTTGTTCTAGCAGAGGTTACCAGAGGTAATTTAGACATCCCTGCTGAACAGACAGAAATAAACCTTTCCTCTTGTGTGTTCACCGTGTTTAATGTTCTGCAACTAAGTTCTCTGTGCCAATATTTCAATAAGGTTATATAAGGGCAAACCGGGTGACCTGATTCTGATACTGTAGGATTTGGGATTTGACATTTACAAGTTACATGCTTGTTTTTCGTTAATAGCCAGTTGTACTACATCCTGAGGTTTTACAGAGGCACTCAAATCAATTAACTGTAATAACACTAAAAAACATCAGAGATGGGAAATTTACGTTCATAGAAGTAGGCCATGCCAGAAATAAATATGCTTGCAATGCTGCATTATATCTGTTCTGCTTCCCACCATATAGGACAGACAGCAGCAAGCCACATATAGCACCTATATGTCTAAATCAGGCAAGGGCAAATGTCATCCTTCCAGGTGTTTTGGACTTCAGTTCCCACAATTCCTTACCAGGAGTTGGGAGTCCAAAACACCTGGAGGAACGAGGTTTGCCCATGCCTCATCTAAAGTAGAGACATCACACTGGCAACAAAGATCCGCCTAGTCAAAGCCATGGTATTCCCTGTAGTAACCTACGGATGTGAGAGCTGGACCTTCGGGAAGGCTAAGTGAAGGAAGAGAGATGCTTTTGAACTGTGGTGCTGGAGGAAAGTGCTGAGAGTGCCTTGGACTGCAAGAAGATCCAACCAGTCCATCCTCCAGGAAATAAAGCCCGACTGCTCATTGGAGGGAAGAAGACTAGAGACAAAGTTGAAGTACTTTGGTCACATCATGAGGAGACAGCAAAGCCTGGAGAAGACAATTATGCTGGGGAAAGTGGGAGGTAAAAGGAGGAGGGGCCGACCAAGGGCAAGATGGATGGATGGCATCCTTGAAGTGACTGGACTGACCTTGAAGGAGCTGGGGGTGGTGACGGCCGACAGGGAGCTCTGGCATGGCTGGTCCATGAGGTCACGAAGAGTCGGAGACGACTGAACGAATGAACAACAACAACAACATCTAAAGTAATAAGAGATAATGTGGCTTATTTTATTATAGCTTCAGCATGTTGCCTCAAAGCCAACCCCAAGACAATACCTGTCCTCTATGGAAGGAGTTGCAGTAGACTTGGAGGTCATTACAAAGCAATCTTCAGGACTTTAAAAATACTATGTTCTCCGTTAATGTAAAAGATTCTATCTGAAGCCAAAATATCATTCTCCCCTCCAATTTAGGGCAGAAGGAATCCGTCAAGAAAAGGAGAAACAGCAAGCATCCCACTAATCACAAGAATAATTGAGATTAGTGGGATGAAGGGAGGAAAAGCTGCTGCTTCATGCATCTAACATCGACTATTGGAACAAAATAGGCAAAAGCAGTACCGTTCCTTCAGGCATGAACTCTCATTGTCAGCAACTGGCATGTACACTGGGAAAATGGCATTGTCACCTGGCTTTTGCTAGAAGCAACAAGTGTCCTCAATGTACTGCTACCTGAACTTGGAAATGTTACCTTTTTAGAATGAAACTCCCAAATCCCTCAGTCAGCCATTCTGCTCAATTAATAGCCACCTTCTTGTGCAAAATTTGGCTAAAGTAGTGGTTTTCAATCAGGGCTCTATGGAACCATAGATTTTTGGAGGGCGCTTAACAAAAGAACACTGTTAAAGGAAAACTAGTTGCTCTGGAGGACGGCTTGCTTGCCATTATTGGTTTTGCAGGACTGCTACATGTGTTGATGTCAGCACCTGGGTTCATTACCCCAACAGTGAGAACAAATAGGGTATATTTAACACTGGAGAAATTGAGGATATATCTTAGAGTTTTACCCAACCTCTGATTCACAATCTCTGCAATGCCCAAGATATTATGTGGTTCACCAACAGATCATTCAGAGTGGAAACATTCCCTTAAGACAAAAACTTTGAACACAATGGGACTGAACTATAGTTGATAAACAGTACAGCCCCTGTATCCATAGTTTCAATTAACCACATTTGACAAGTTACACCTAGGCATTTTCTTAATCCTCCAAAATGACTCCATAGCATTCTTATGCTAGAAGTCCTTTATTTTGATAGGGTTCACTATTATCCAATTTTGCATATACACATAAAGTGCAACAACACATCCTTGTGGGTACAGGGAGCGTACTGTATGCAACTATTTTAGATATGCTCAAGGGCTTGGAGTTTTGTTGCCTACACTGAGAATTTAAGGAACCTAGATGGATCAGACAAAAAGTTATCTGATTTAGCATTCAGTTTCCAAACCCAGGCCTATTAGAAGTCCCGCAACAGGACATGAGCCTAATGGCAGACTTTTACTTATATTTTGCAACATCTGATACATAGAGGCATGTTGCCTCTCAGGCCAGAAGGCGTATCTTACTCTGCTGAAGTCTAACGTAGATAAACACTATAAAGCCTGTTGTATAACCATTTAGCAATCCTTGAAAGTTTATGATCCCAGACAAGGGAAGAAGTCAGGGAAAGGGTCACAAATCTCTCTTCGCTGAAGTTTCTCTTTCAGGGGAGCCGCATTTTTCTCCCACTCTGTTGCCCTTACATTGGCAGGCATTGGTAGCAGATAGGCATGGGCAAATTTGGGCCCTCCTTTGAGTGATTTGGACTTCAACTCCCACAATTCCTAACAGCTTACCAGAGGGAGGACCCAAGTTTGCCCATGCCTGCTCTAACTGGTTCCATCGCTTATAGTTTTAATAAGATGTTGATGCCATGTTTTACTTCCCATCATGACCTATCATATGAAATCTGAAGTGAACTATTTGGTGGCAGGGTGGAGTGCGCATTCCCTCTCCAAGTGAATCCACAAACCTTCGTAGACCAAGGTGGTGATCAGGAGGGCGACCAGGTGGCTCCTGGCCTGGTGGCTGAGGGACTCGAACTGGAGCAGCATCAGGTGGAGCAGGAAGGAGAAGAGCAGCTCCAGGACAAAGGCGTGGGCCACCGAAGTCTGGAGGGGGCTGGTGCAGGCCTCGTCCCGGGCCCTTGCGTGGGCCGCTGTCACACCTAGCATCCAGATGCCACGGGTAAAGAGGTGAGCTGAGATGGCACCTAGAAACTGGGCTGAGGTGTGCAGCGCCCAGGTTGCGCCCGCCAGGCGCCCCTTGAAGAGGAGCTGGAAGCTGCTGGAGGGGTTGTTGACACTGCCCACAAGGGTCCGTCCGTGGAGGGCAGTGGAGAGGTAGGTGAGGGCCAGGGCGGCATGGGGCTGTGGGGGCAGCGCGGACAAGAGGGCCAGCTCCCGTGTACAGGCACAGATCTGAAAGGCACCCGAGCACTCCAGCACCAGGCGGTGCGCCCGCGGAGGAAGGTGCAGGTGTGACAGGCGCCGGGAGGCCCACGCCAGACATACCGCCCAGGACATCACCAGCAGGGACAGGCAGACCTCCACCAGGGAAGGGGCAGAAGCAGGCATGGCTGGGGTCTGCCCCTCTTTGGCGGGGATTGGACCTGCTCCAGCCTCTCCGAGACCCTTCTCCCAAAGGCTCTCCTCTTGGCTCTTCTCTTGGCCCTTCTCTAGCCTCTCAAGGGATTCCTGGTCTTCTCTCTTGGCTTTTCTCTGGCCTCTAAAAGATTCTTCTCAAGCCTCTTCTCTCTGCCCTTCACTAGCCTCTCAAGGGCTTCTTGAACTCTTCTCTTGGACTTTCTCTGGCCTCTAAAAGTTTCTTCTCAAGCCTCTTCTCTTGGGCCATCTCTAGCCTCTCAAGGGCTTTGTGGTCTCCTCGCTCGGTCCTTCTCTGGCCTCTAAAAGATTCTTCTCTAGCCTCTCAAAGGCTTCCTGGTCTCCTCTCTTGGCCTTTCTCTAGCTACTAAAAGATGGCCAAAGCCAACAGAAAGGAGGATACCATGAAAATGAACACAATCTGGCTACCAGTCTTTTTTAAAAAAAACTCTAAAATTGGGAGAGTAACAAATAATAACACTCAGAAAACAGGTGAATTCCAGACAGGAAACAATCAGGGCCAGCTAACACCTCCCAGCAAAGAATTCCCCCAGGCTTTGAAGCTGCAAGGCCATTTAATGCTAATCAAAGTGGCCAATGGCAGCATTCACACTTGCCTGAAGATACATAAACCCTGGAGATACATAAACCTCACTTGCCTAGTTTCCAACAGACTTCACAGCCTCTGAGGATGCCTGCCATAGATGTGGGCGAAACGTCAGGAGAGAATGCTTCTGGAACATGGCCATGAAAAAACTCTCAGCAACTCACTGAAAGATCATTCTCTGGGCTTTTCTCTAGCCTCTCAAAGACTTCCTGGTCTCTTCTCTAGCCACTAAAAGACTCTTCTCTGGGCTCTCAAGGCTTGGTGGTCTCTTCTCTCTCAGTCCTTCTCTAGCCTCTAAAAGACACTTCTCTGGTCTCTTCCCTAGCCTTTCAAAGGCTTCGTTGGTCCAGGCTGTCCGATGTCCCGGCTCCCTTCGCCCCTCGGTCCGGAGGCATTGAAACCCCTCGCCCAGGCTTCCTCTCTGCTTGTCCTTTCTCCTGCTCGGTACAAGCCTGGCAGCCCAGCCACAGCCGCCTCCTCCGCCGCAGTGCAGCCCGCGAGTGGGAGGGAGGGAGGGAGAGCGAGCTTGCTCCCTCTGAGCTGCCACGCCGACAGACTGGGCTTCTTCTCCAAGGATGCTTTTGGGCACCGAGAAGGGGAGCGAGGGAGAGGCGGCGGAGGAGGAGGAGGCTTCCCCAATGGGGATGAAGGAGGAGGAACCCGAGGAGGCGGCGGAGGTGGAGGCAGGGACGTGCACAGCCACGGCAACGCCGTCCACAACGACGACAACAACAGGTGGCCAGAGAGGTCATGGCCCGGGCGGGGAAAGGACACAGCCGGGGACACATATTGGAAATGGGGCGCCCTTGCTTTCTGTGGGCACAGAGACAAGGACACAGAGCAACGGGTTCAAGCTGCAGAAAAAAAGGAGATTCCACCTAAATAGGCTTTCATGGCCAGAATCACTGGATTGTTGTAGGTTTTATTTATTTATTTACTAGCCGTCCCCTGCCACGCATTGCTGTGGCCCAGTTTTGTGTGTCTATATTTGTGTATATGTGTATATATGTGGTTTTACGCATGCATTGTAATGGGGGTTTTTTTGGCTTTTTAACTCTCTTCCACTGTGTTTTTCAGTGTTTTTAGGAGTGATGGTCACTTGTTGCCCTGATAGGTATATTGTGTCCAAATTTGGTGTCAATTTCTCCCAGTGGTTTTTGAGTTATGTTAATCCCACAAACTAACATTGCATTTCTATTTATATAGATTTACAACATTAAAATGCCGCCCTTCTCACCCTGAAGGGGACTCGGAGCGGCTTACTAGATATATATGCACTGGGATTGTGGCACAGTTGGCTGAGTGTCAGCTGCATTAAGATCACTTCTGACCAAAAGGCAATGAGTTCAAAGCCAGCCCAGGTTGGAGTGAGTGTCCAACCAACTGTGTAGCTTGTTGTTGACCTTTGCATCTGTCAAGTAGGAAAATTAGGTACCACCTATGTGTAGGGAGGCTAATTTAACTAATTTACGAGGCCATAAAAAGACTCCAGCAAAAGCATGTGGGGAATGCGGAAGTACTTCATCAGTGTCGTAGATGGACGATGAAAGCGACAGCTCCCCGGGCGGCCAGTATTATATTGTATTACATTATACTATAATAAATATATGTATATACAATATATTACATTATATTATTAGCATAGCATAGGACATAAGATGGAACTGTCCCCTGGCCCCCCTCTCTCTTCACTCTGGCCTAGAGTGGCAGTTGGTGCTGGGGGGAGTGATCCCCAACATTTTTTTTTGGGTTGTATGGCCATGTTCAAGAAGCATTCTCTCCTGACGTTTCACCTGCATCCGTGGACACAGCATATCATTTGAGAACACAGAAATGCTGGACCACTCCAACAACCAGACTACACAGAGAAACCATTGAAATCCACAAGCATGTGGACAATTTCAACAGAAAGGAAGAAACCATGCAAATGAACAAAATCTGGCTACCAGTATTTTAAAAAAAACTCTAAAATTCCAACTCACTGGCCAACACATTTTGGTGCCTCAAAAGCACTATTTTTAGGAGTATATTTGACCTGCTGCTTCCAAAAATGGTACCGGTTTCCCCCTATTCGCTCTAATTTTTGAGATACAGAACATATGCCATCTACCAGTCACATCTGCTCACCCATAGATTACCATGATAACCAAATCTAAAAAACTAGAACTGGCGCAGTCTATCCAATGCAATTTTTTGTAACCAATCTCAAGCCACGGGGAGATGCGGGAAATAATAATAACACAAGGTATTAGCCTCTGCCAAAGCGTGCTGTTGCCTCACCAAACGACAACATTCCCTAGTGATGACCCCCCAAGTAGCAGAATCTCCCGCCTTCAAGTTGGTTTGAACCGCAGCAGGGAGTTCCGCAGTTCCGGAGAGCAAAGTGAAGAAACTGGTGAAATGTGCTCCAGCAGGCAGCTCAATAATAAGACTGCACTCAGCCTTTCTTTGCTTTCCCTTCTCCCTACATTGTAACATTCCCCTAATAAAGCACTTGAAACTTGCAACATTTAATCCTTCCGCTTGATACTTTGTGTCCTTTTACTGACTGCAACTTTTCTAACTCACAATAAACCTTTTTCTGAGCTCCGGGGAACCGTGAGCTCACTGGGGACGCCTTCCCGGCCTCCCCAGGCCTCCGAATTTGCGTTAGTTCAAATCGCGGATACGGAGATTTTCCTATTGGCCCCCCTTATCCGCCAAAACAACAACATGGCGGATCGGGCCCGTTCAAATTTTATATTTTTCTACATTAACTTCTAAGACTAACTGCTATCTTGGTTTTCTCACTTTGGACTCCTGCACTCGTGAAATAATTATTTTTGTTTAATCATTAAATTCGGCCAAGTCACCAGCTGATTGTCAAAATTTCGCCGGCTTTTGCCGCTTGCTTCATTCCGCTCGCTGCGGCTCGCTCCAGCATGGTTCCAGCCGCCTGCGATCCACCGCCGTCGCCCAAGGGAAGCCTTGGAAGTGGGGGATCGGGCAGGGAGGCCCGATCCCCGGTTGGGAGCGCTAGTTCCACCAAGGACGGGACAGTGGAACGTAGCTTCCCCTTCAGCTCCAGCTCCTGCTTCAAAAAATGAACTGATCTTCTGATGGCCAGCCTAAACCATAGGCTGGCCCCTGCATCCAAACCCCTCCGCCCGGACTTTTGGGATTTTTAGTCTTTCTTTCCTTTTTTATGAAATGAAATAAATAAAATATTTTCCTATTATGGATTGGGGTTGGGATGGGTGGTGGGTTGTGATGTATGAAATGCCTGTATATTGGTGATGCCTGTGTTTTATGAATATGAAATATGTATCCCTATGAACTCCCCTGTATCTTCACCTCTTTGACCCCTTACCCCATAAAACCGGCGTGACCAGGAATTGCCTGGGGAAAGAGCCCAAGCCTCTTTTCCCTAAATCACCCTTTGATTGACCCATCTTGCATGGACAATGCTGCTGGCCCCCGATTTCGTCATCGGAGCAAGACCAACGAAGGAGGGTTTGGTCAGCAGAGCCCCGGAAAGAAAGGACTGATTAAATCACCCAGATACTGTTGATCCTCCGGGCGGTCCGGTATCGATCCAGCTATTCAAATTCCTTGCCAGACTCATCAAGAACAGGAAAGCCCTTTGTTTGCCAAACATCACCCTCTTCCCGCCTTGGACAATAGCCCGCATTCCAGCGGGCAGGGAAGCCCAAATCCCATCATCTTTCCCCTTTGTTCCTCGGCCGTCCCACCTCCTCGTTCCTGATTGGACAGAACCCAGGAAGCGAGCGGAGGGCGCCCATTGGCCCTCCCGAGGCGGGGGAACGCTCCCATTGGCTCCTGGCGGAGGCGGGCTGTCAAACCTCCTCCCAGCTGTTCCAGCCTCAGCCAATCAGCGTGAAGCCGGCTGACAGGGGGCGGGCGGGATTTTCAAACTGCTTTCTTTGTTCTAACAGTATAAAAATGCCTGAAAATCCTTGTAATGCATGCTTACAGTGGAATGATTCCTGTAATGCATCCTTTTCAGCTGAATCGCAAATAAACCTCGATCGCTGGACTTCTTCCGCCTCTGATGAGCTTATTAATTCTTTTAAATATTTCTGCGCTCTTGGATTGGCTTCCAGAAAGCTCACCAAGGTATCCAGGACTCTTTGGTGCGGTCCTTGGGCTCTCCTCCCTGGAGGGGCCCCCTAAAAGAGCTCGATATCACTAGCACTGAGTCATGAAATTAAAGTGATATCAAACTGCGTTGATTCAATATAGATGTACCACAAGTCTACTTCCTCAGATAGTCAGATAATCTTGTATGCAGTTAATGTAGAAGGCCCCATCTACACTGATCGTGTAATGCAGTTTCAAACCAGTGTTGAAGAAAGTGGTTTCACAGTGTAGATGATTACATATGAAATCCTGGAACCAGTGTGAGGCCCAGATGGTGATTACACAAACCACAGAATACTGATGCTCCTTAAGGGTTTTCTTCCGCATGGTTTTGTGGGCGTGCCGAATTGCATTAAATGACCAGTGTAGACAGAGAGAAAGGAAGATGTTCACAAACCTGCATATATCAGGGAGGTCATGGTGACGGCAAGCACATTGGCCCTGACACGGATTTCTTGCTCCTCCGATTTGAGCACGGTTAACTGGAACATGAAGGCAGAGACAAGCTCTGTGCCAAAGGCCTTCAATAGGCCGGTCTGGAGAGGATGGCTGCAGAGATGGGGATCGGCGAGCAACTCAAGGATGCCTCTTGCCCAGAGCACATCTCGATAGACTACGGCTAAGAAGGCGCCGAAAAACTGGGCCACGATCTTCGCCACGCCTAGCTTCATCGAGATGCCTTTCCGCAGGATATTGACCAGTGTCGTGGTCGGATTGCTCGGGTTTTCACTCAAAGTCAAGTAGAAATGGAGGGCGACAAAGGAATAAATATGGCCCAAGTAGGCCTGGGGTTTGGGCTCCATTTCGGCCAAAGGGCGCAGCACATTAAAGCCGGCGCATAGGTGGAAAGTGGCCAGCATTTCCAGCAGGAAGAGACGGGGCCTCAATGCAGTGACAAATTGGCGGGTCATGCGCCTGCCCTCGGTCACAATCATCGTGGTGGTCCCTTGTATGACAACCAACGGCGTCTTTTCCATGATGAACTGCCACTGTAATGTTTTCCTCTTTTCCCCAGTGTTTTGGTTCCCTTGTGGCCAAACTCTTCCTTGTGATGCCACCTCTCACTTCTCTTGTAGTCCATTTCCTTTTGGTTGGGAAGCTTGATGCCGTGAATTGGATCGAACATTTCCCTTTGCCTCCATCTCTCTCAAAGCATCTCCTGTTATTGAGGAATATGATGCCTATTGTTGTGTCATAGGTTTGTCGAAGTCTTTCTTTAGACACCTTACTCTTGAAAGGACTTGGGTTGCTCCTTGTGGTCAGTGTCTTCAATGAAGAAGGAAGAAATGATCTGCTCTTTTCCCCTTAAATAATAGTTATGTCACTGAACTTGGGCCCCACTGAACCTTTTGGCCTTTTGCCAAATGCTTCTTAAGGCAATTTATCGCCAAGTTTGATTTAATTGTGTGTTTTAATCTTGTCTATCTTTTAAAATCTATAATATAAATGGATTTATGGCCTACCCAACCCATTTTTAACTATGAATTTTAAACTTATGTCTTGCGGTTCTATTATTATTATTATTATTATTATTATTATTATTATTATCTACTTTATCTC